AGAGATAGACAGAGAGAAAGAGAACTTGAGCAGGGACCGACCGCCCCGGCATCCCTATAGGCCTACCACGACATGTTCTTAGACTCCACAGTGTTCTAATAACAACCATGTTCTTAGAACATAAACCCGATTCGTTAAAACAAGACAGTCTCAGCCAGAAATGTTCCGAGAACATTTCGTGCAGACCACCTAACGGTTCTGAGAACATTATTTGGTGGGCCTGTAGGCGAGCCAAGACGGTTCGCCACTGCTTGAAGAACACAGCAGGCCGAGGGCCCAAGAGGATCAGCCGTCCTCCTCGCTCGCCTCTCTTCTAGCGCCGCCATCTCCTCTGCCTCGCGCGCGGGGGCCGGCACAGGGGCAGCGCGCAACAACTACTGATAGCAAGCTTGGGTGGCGACATCCGCACCCTACGGTCAACCCGTCTGGTAAGTATGCGCGGTAGGGGTGCAAGGGCCTTGGAAGGCCGCGTTGGCGCTTTTTCGAGCGAGGTTGGCCAGCGAGAGTCGCTAAGGATGGGCCGAAGGGGCAAGGATGCCAGATTAGCCTTGGAAAGGCTGCCCATCCTTGCTATGCGGGTCGGCACCAACTGAGCTCCACGGAGACCTGCAGGAACAATATGATTAATAAGAGAATAGGAAGAAGAGAAGACGACCCCGACCATTCCTCCTCCTCGTCCCTCTCCTCCTCCTCTTCCTTCTCCTCCTCCTCGCACAGCCGCCCGCAGCCGCACACGCGCGGACACCAGCGCGGGCCTTCCTCGCGGCCGCCGCCGTCCTCGCCGCGGCAACGCGCGCGGGGTGGAGGGGGGGGGCGCGGGGGACAGCGGGTGTCAGGAGAACCGGCCTCGAGGTTTGAGGCGATGGGGCTAACAATGATGATGATGATGATGATGATGATGATGATGATGATGATGATGATGATGATGATGATGATGCTGATGATGCTGATGATGATGATGCTGCTGATGATGATGCTAACGATGATGGTGACGATGCTGATGATGACGATGGGCTTGGCAGCCTCGGAATGCTTTCCAAGATAGGCGCCTCGCTTTCCGGGGGTGCCTGGGCCGCCCCGAGCGGCCGCCAGAGAGCCGAGGTATGGCCCCCGGCATCCAGTCTTGCGAGTTCCTCTTACTCCTGAAGCATGTATTGACTTTCATGCTGCCTCCGTTTAGTTTCATCTATGAGGAAACGCAGCGTTTAGCCGATCCCGGGGTGGGAATGCAGGGCGTTTCCTGTTGGGCTTCGAAAGGTATGTCCCCAACTGGGGTGCTGACGTGTTGGGGTCTGCACGAGGATGGGGATGGGGATGGGGGCCGGTGAAAGTATGCCGAGAGGGGGCTGAAGCTGGTGGCCACGGCGGCGAGCACGGAGCACAGTGGCAGAAGGAGAGTCGTCCAGGGGGGGGGGGGGGACGGGGGGGCAGCTGGGAGGGGCGGGGGAGGGGGGAGAGCCAAGCTAGGTGCGCTCGCGTCATATCTGACGTCCTACCCCTCCCTCCCATCCCTTACCATGGCGCTGATTTTCTCTATCCGCGGACGCGTGTCGTAGCAGGGGGAGGGGGAGGGGGAGGGGAGGGAGGCAGGAGGGGAGGGAGGGGGAGGGGGAGGGGCGAGGAGAGGGGGGCGGGGTGGGGGCCACGGCGGAGGCGGAGGAGGGAGGACGAGGAGGATACTGCGTGGCGCTGAAGACGGTTCAGCCCTGTCGATGAGCTATTTCCTCTGTGTGTTTTTTCTGGTAGCTCCAGGGTTGCCCTAGAATTGCCCAAGAATCTCCTTATGCCCTGAAACCAAAACTGAATTCACTCTTATCATTATGGGGCTGGCCTGGGGCTTGAAACTACGGGGTGGCCTTGAAATTGCCGACGAAAAATAAAACTTTACAATTCACATTCTTAGCGTGCGCGGCCCTGCTGTTTCAGCATGGAGGGCGAATCTAAATTAGGGGTGGCGCGCAACGTCAACAATTCTTGGCTGGGTGGGCGGCAAGGAGGGTATGGGACTTCCAAGGATCCCAAAAGGATTCCTAAGGATCCCCGAGGGATTCCTTAAGGATCCCCGATGGATTCCTCAGGATTCCCGATGGATTCCTCTGGGTTTCCTAGGGATTTCTAAGGGCTCCCTGGGGAGTCCGAAAGATTCCCTGAGGATTCCGAAGGATTCCCTCGGGATTCCGGAATATTCCCACTGGGTGCTTAAGGATTCCCGGGGGATTCCTGAGGATTTCCTCGGGATCCTTCAGTATCCCCAACAGATTCCTAAGGATTCCCTTCGGGTTCCGAAGGTTTCCCTGCGGATTTCGAAAGACTTCTGAGGGATGCTTAAAGATTTGCTAGGCGGTCCGATCCTAAGGATTCCCAAGGGTTCCTCCGGATTCCTATCCTAAAGATTCCCGAGGTCCTGCGGCGGAGTTTGGAATGATGGAGGGTCGGAATTTCACTTGAACAGGATGCCCAAGAATATCTGCGAATCAAACTCCAACGAAGCAGGTCCATGTACGCGAGCGCCACCTACTAGGATGATGGGGACGACGAGGGAGAAGGAACTGCGCTCTGCCACAAGGGGGTGGGCCGGCCTAGGCGGGCCAGAAGCAGCAGCTGGGGTGGCCGATCCTAAAGGGAAATTAGGACACACAAATAAATACACACAAATAAAAATAGTCCCCATATTTTCCTATATTTTCTGGGTTTTTGTCTTCCCCCCCCAATTCCCATATTTTCCCATATTTTCCTGGGAATCGAGGATTAATTGTGTCTGTGTGTTTTTTTCCCTCCTGAGATCCATCGGCCGCACCGCGCCTGCTGCGAGCAGGCCGACCGCCGAGCAAACCGCTGACAGGCCCTTCCCTGCCTCCCCCCGGGGCTGCTCTCGTCGGGCCGCCCGCGGTCTCCGAGGCCCGCTCCCTCGATACCCGCTCCGATCGCGGGGTAGGGCGCTCCGAGCAGCAGGGGGCCGAGGTGGCATCGCAGTCGAGAGGCGTTTTCTCCCCTCGAGGAGGGCCGCCGGCTCGCCGCGAGGGAGGCGTGCCGGGCCGGCGGGTCCGCGCGGGAGCGCCACTTCCAGGCGAGACGCGCACGGAGCTCGGGCGAGGGCGGCACGTCGCCCACCCGCGCGGGGCCTCGCGGAGCTTGCGAGTGAAGCTCTGTGCGCTGCGTCGGAGCAGGAGCGCCGCGGTCAGGGGAAAGCTGGGCGGCGCCGAGGCGAGAACGACACGTTCGCCCTTTCGCGCGTCGACGAAGTTGCGTGCGAGAAACGTAGGAGCGCGGCTGTCAGGGGAAGGCTGGGCGGCGCCGAGGCGAGAACGAAATGTTCGCCCTTTCGCGCGTCGACGAAGCTGCGTGCGAGAGACGTGGTCCGCGCCCCAGCGGGAGCGTAATTCTATAGCAGGATGCGCGAGGCGCCGAGGCGAGAACAACAATTCGGCCTTTCGCGCTGGATCAGCGCCCCGTCGCACTCCTGCCACGCATCTTGCAACATGGACGGCATCAGGACAAGAACATCGTCGACTTTGTTTCCCACACGTAGCATGGAAGGTCCCCGATACGGCGGCTATCGTCCGGCTGCGGTCGAGAGCAGTATATACGAAGAAAAGAAATGCACGAGTACAACAAAAAGAGGGAGAGGAGAAGGATTCTAGTGAAGGGATTCGAAATAGGGCCGCTCATGCGGCGCAGCCTGGCACGCCACCATGCCGAAAGCCGAAGCCAACGGTCAGCGCCGTGAGCTGACCGTTTCAGAGGAGGAAGCTGAGGAGGACGAAGAGGAGGAGGACGAGGGAGAGGACGAGGAGCAGGAGGAGGAAGAGAAGGAGGAGGAGGAGGAGGAGGAGGAGGAGGAGGAGGAGGAAGACGAGGAGCAGGAGGAGGAGGAGGACGACGAGGAGGAGGAGGAGGCCCCAGGCTCGCCGTCTGGCACCGCTGCCGCGGCCCCTCGCCGAGAGGCCATCTCCCAACGCCCCGCCCCGCCCCGCCGCGCGCGCGAGCGACGAGCGGCGGCGCCAGGATCGGCGCGGGCGGCTTTTGCGCGCGCGGGCGAGCGTGCGCCCAGCGAGAGCCGCCAGGCGCGCGGCGCGCGGCGCATGCGAACGCCCAAGCCCCTGCAAACGGGGCGTCAGTAGACGGGGCGGTAGCTCAGGGGCCTCGTCGGGCGAGAACGCGGTGACAGGGCATCTGCCTCGCACTAGGAGCGTGGCACATTGGGACGACAAAGACGCCGACACATCATCATAACTCTGGGTGGGGGGGTTTACCTCGCACTTGTGCGCGGCAATAAACGCACCCCTCGCTACCGCCCCGTTTACTAACGCCCCGCTTGAAGGGTGTCGGGAACGCGGGTGGACATGGGGGGGAGCCGCTGGGCGCGCGCGGGCGGTGGCGCTCCTCTCGGGCGTCCTCGTCCCCACGCCTCCGGCGCCGGCTTCTGCTCCTGCTCCTGCCGGGGGTGGTGGTGCAGTTGGAGGCCTCCTAGATGGGGTCGGGGTAGATGGGGTCGGATGATCGCGCCGAATCACTGATACATCGGCGATGCATCGGCGATGCATCCGTGATGCAGGGGCGATGCATCGTCGACGTAGGCGATGCATCGGCGACGTTGGCGTGGGGAAGCACGGGCTCCACGTCAAGCCGCATCGTCGATGCATCGGCGATGCGCCGCAGTCCTCAGACCCCATCAATTCGGACCCCATCTGGGAGGCCTAGAACAGTGGGGGCCGATCCACGAGAAACCTTCCTCAAGAAACCCAGCCCTGAGACCCCAGGCCGTCCCCTGTTTTTACCTAACAGCGAAGACTGATAGGTTTCTAGTCGGGTCAAAAGAAAGCATCATGACTCCCCAGGGGGGTCTGGGCAGATGCCGGACGGGTGCCGGGGAAAACCGGGGACTCCCCAGAACACTATCCCGGGCCACATTTTGACTGCCCGGAGCCAACAGAACACCATTCCCAGGCCACATTTTGAATGCCCGGAGCCAACTGTAGGCCACTTCGTGTTCTTCGTGCTCCCAGAGAACCACTCTCAGGCCACGTTTCGAACGCCCAGAGCCAACTGTAGGCCATTTCGTGTTCTTCGTCCTCCCAGAGCACCATTCCCAGGCCACATTTTGAATGCCCGGAGCCAACAGTAGGCAACTTCGGGTTCTTCGTGTTCCCAGAACACTATTCCTGTACCATATTTTGCTTGCCCGGAGCCAACTGTGGGCCACTTCGTGATCTTCTTGTTCCCAGAACACCAGTCCTGTGCCAAATTTTGAATGCCCGAGCTGAGGCAGGCTGAGGCCGAGGCAGGCTGAGGCCAAGGCAGGCTGAGGCTGAGGCACGCCGAGGCAGGCTGAGGCTGAGGCTGAGGCAGGCTGAGGCTGAGGCTGACACAGGCTGAGGCCGAGGCAGGCTGAGGCCGAGGCAGGCTGAGGCTGAGGCAGGCTGAGACTGAGGCTAAGGCAGGCTGAGGCTGAGGCTGAGGCTGATGCAGGCTGAGGCTGAGAGGCTGACGCTGACGCTGAGGCAGGCTGAGGTTGAGGCTGAGGCCGAGGCAGCTGAGCTGAGGCTGAGGCAAGCCGAGGCAGGCTGAGGCTGAGGCTGAGGCTGAGGCAGGCTAAGGCTGAGGCTGTGGCTGAGGCTGAGGCAAGCTGCGGCTGAGGCAGGCTGAGGCTGAGGCTGATGCAGGCTGAGGCTGAGGCAGGCTGAGGCTGAGGCTGAGGCAGGCTGAGGCTGAGGCTGATGCCGAGGCAGGCTGAGGCTGAGGCCGAGCAAGCCGAGGCAGGCTGAGGCTGAGGCTGAGGCTGAGGCTGAGGCAGGCTGAGGCTGAGACAGGCTGAGGCTGAGGCTGAGGCTGAGGCTGAGGCTGAGGCAGGCTGAGGCTGAGGCCGAGGCAGGCTCAGGCCGAGACAGGCTGAGGCTGAGACTGAGGCTGAGGCTGAGGATGAGGCCGAGGCAGGCCAAAGCTGAGACAAGGTGAGGCTGAATGGGGGGGGGAAGGGGGAGAAGGGGGGGGAGGGGAGGCTGAGGCAGGCTGAGGCCGAGACAGGCTGAGGCTGAGGCCGAGGCAAGCCGAGGCAGGCTGAGGCTGAGGCTGAGGCTGAGGCTGAGGCAGGCTGAGGCTGAGACAGGCTGAGGCTGACGCAGGCTGAGGCCGAGGCAGGCTGAGGCTGAGGCTGAGGCAGGCTGAGGCTGAGGCCGAGGCAGGATGAGGCTGAGGCTGAGGCTGAGGCAAGCCGAGGCAGGCTGAGGCTGAGGCTGAAACTGAGGCAGGCTGAGGCATCCGTAGGAATCCATAGGAATCCTGAGGAATCCTTAGGAATCCGTAGGCATCCTTAGGAATCCGTAGGCAGAGTTAAGCATCCTCAGGAATCCTTAGGAATCCTTAGGATTCCTCAGGAATCCTTAGGAGTCCCTAGGAATCCCTAGGAATCAGGATTCCTAAGGATTCCTAAGGTTTCCTAAGGATTCCTACGGATGCCTAAGGATGCCTTAGGAATCCCAAGGAATCCTTAGGATTCCATTGGATCCTAAGGCCGTTGCCACTGCGACTGTCATTGCGAACGCGACTGCGACGGCGAGAACAGCAGAATTCTACAACTGGATTATCACCTGAATTTTAAGGGGAACGCTTCCAGAGATGCTTATACACATCGCTGTTAGGTTGCTTTGTCGGGATAATTTGTGGTGTGGGAGCGTCACGCTATCCATACCAAGAGCCTCCAAACCCGAGAAACCCAGGGCCCCCTGGAGGCAAGCAGGGTGTCTCTTGGCATGGGTCTCCACTGTAAGACGAAGCCAGGACGAGGATCACATCGGGTGGGGATAAATCGACTCTCTGAGATCTCGCGGCTCTGGAGAATGTCCTGGGCGCAGCGGCCTTCTCAGGGCCTGTAGGGACCCTCGGAAAGCGCTCCGGAACGCCTCTTGAACGAAGTTATCCTCGTCCTAATCCCCTCCGAGGTGGGACGGGGGGGGGGGGGAAGGCTGGGGCAGAGGGGGCTGGGAAGGGCGGAGGAGCGAAACGAGGGGAGCGGGACGGGGGGAGGGCGCGGGGGCACGAGAAGGGGGGAGGGGGGCGAGGGAGGGCAGGGGAGGGGTGGGAAGGGCGAGGGAAGGCGGGGAGGTGGGTCCGGAAAGCGGGCAAAAAAACACGGGGAGGAAAACGGGGAGAGGCACGGGGGGGGGGGGGGGGAACGGCGAGAGGGAAAAGCACAGGGGGGCAGGCCAGATGCGCCCGCGCGACGTCCGACGCCCCACCCCTACCACACACGCCTTCCCATTAAACGGTGTGTCCCACTATCCGCCGACGGGTGTCATGGCGGACCTGGACCCCCCCCCTAATGGCCCCATCGAGTTGCGATGGAGGAGAAGGGGGCGGGTGAGCAGGGGAGGAAGAGCAGGAGGATGATCAGTAGGAAGATGAGGACACGAGCGTGCGAGAGGAGGGAGAGGAGGATAAGGAGGAGAAGGAGGAGGAGGAGGAGGAGGAGGCAGAGAGGAGGACACGAGCGTGCGAGAGGAGGAAGAGGAGGATCAGGAGAAGGAGGAGGAGGAGGAGGAGGAGGAGGAGGAGAAGGCAGAGGAGAATTAGGAGGAGCGACCGAATTCGCCGGCCCAACGGGCCAGAGGCGTGCTGAGATCTCCGGTAATTGGTTCACAGTATTTCTAGTTCGCGCGCGCGGGGCGGCCCCCCCTTGGGGTCCCCGGACGAAAAGTACCCCGGCAAGGTCCCGGGAGAAGCCCCCAGAGCGCTCCAGGAGCGCACCAACAGGGCCCCGAGACGCCCCCGAGAGTCCCAAGAAGGGCCAAGAGAGTCCCAAGAAAAGCCAAGAGCGCCCAAGAGGCCCCCAATATTGTAATTACACCAAGGGTCCGAGATGCCACAAGATCGCTCCAAGACGCTCAAGATAGCCCCCAGACGCCCCACGAGGCTTTCAAGAGCACTCCCAAGAGGGCCCCAAGAGGCAAAATTCATTGTTTTTTCAATAGGTTTGGGTGAGATGTTGGCGTTTCCACCTTTTCGGCATCGCGACGCACCAGGACGGCCCAAGAGGCCCTCAAGATCGCCCTAGGAGGCCCGAGAGGCCTCCGACAGGGCCCCAAGACGGCCCAAGAGGGTTCCAAGACGGCCCAAGAGGCCTCCAAGACGGCCCAAGAGGGCATCAAAAACGCTCTAAGAGAAGCCCCAGAAGGGGGACCACGAAACAACATTTCGAACCCTCGGCCCTAAGATGCCCCCAGGAGGCGCCAAGAGACCCCTAAGAAACCCCAGGAGGCCCCAAAAACCCTCACGAGGCCCCCAATAAGCTCCCAAGCGGCTCCCAAGCGGCTCCAGGAGGCCCCCCAAATGCCCCCCCGACCACGCTAGCACGTGCCAGCGATGCTCCAATATGGGCAGCGAGCACACAGAAGTTCTGGGAAACTTTTGCACAGCGCTCCGTCTACCCTCCTCAGGCACTCCTCCTCAGACGAGATCCCCAAAAGGCCTCCAAAAGCCCAAACGCCAGCGGGGGCACAATACGGGCCGGCGGAATGAGCGAAGCGATTAAATAAATCCGAAGCACCACGCGGCAGCGTGCTCAGCAGCCAATGACGGCGCGAGCGAGCGTCCATCCAACTCTACTGCGGGTAGAGCCGCGCTCAGTTGGGCGCGGCGAGAAGAGCCGTGGCCCTTGAGAAACAAGCTGGATGGGCTTGTGTCTCTTTCACGAGCGCTTACATATTTCACCACTGGTTTTCCTCCATGTCCCGCCATTCCGCCATGTGAAATGCCACTGCGTTTATTACACCAGAGCACAATCCCAATCGATGGATGGTTTGATCGACAAGATGATCGACCAAGAACCCAGGAACCCGGAACCCACCGAAATCGGCCCGGAACCAATAACCAGGAACCCGGGAACCCGGAACCGGGAACCCAGGAACCCAGCCGACCACCAAAGTCGGCGGGACACTGTCGCCTAATCCAGTCAATTTCCGCTAGGGCCCCTTCAGTGCAAGCACTGCTGGGGGGAGATAAGATGCAGACGAGCCCGTGGATACTCCCGTTTTAGCGGCCAGGGCCCATCCCTGGTCCGAGGCGGAGGACAAGGGACGCTGCGAGGTGAAAAAGAGGACGCCCCGGCGTGACGACGCTGGCGATGCGACGAAGACCGCGAGGTCCCCTCGCGAAAAAGGAAGTCAAACAATCCACCCCCATAATAACCACCCCGACACGCGGAGCCGTTTAGTAAGCGCGCCCAGAGAAGGAATCAACAAGGGCAGGGCTGTTTCATGAACGCCCAGGGCCGTCTACTGAGCGCCCCTTGTCGGGTCCGGGTGGTTGCTCCTCCCTTGATGAGGAGATAGGGCGACGAGATCTATACATATCCACTGCTCCTGGCCAGGCCCATCCTGGGCCCAGGAGCTGTGTATATGCCTCCCTGGCCAGGCCAGGAGGGCGTATACACCGCTCCTGGGCCCAGGATTGGCCTGGCCAGGAGCAGTGGATATGCATAGATCTCGTCGCCCTAAGGAAAGGGAGGGAGCGGGTTCGACCGAGCAGTTGGCGCGCCTCCCATGTGAGAGGCCTCCGCCGGGACGGTCGCTGCCTCCGCGTCTCCCCTGCTCCAGGCCCGATCACACGCAGGAGTAGCCCTGGGCATCAGTGACCTTCGGTGCGCGGCTGCTTGGGGGGGCCGCGGGGGACCGAGCACGAGCGCGCAAGACGCAACTATCGCATCGCATCCGGCGATCGGGGGACCCCAGTGGGCCCGCACCAAAGGTCACTCTGGCGAAAGGTCACTCTTACGTGTATTCGATAGGCCCCCTCCCTCCCCCCAAACCCTCCTCCCCGCCCCGCCCCGCCCCAACCTCCCCTCCCCCCTTGACCCCCCACCCCCCTCGTGAACGTTGCCTTATTCGGCGTTCCGACATTGGGCGGAAGGGGGGGGGGGGAAGGGGAGGTCTGGCTCCGGACCTACGACTGTTCGCAACCATGCGTCCTGTGGGGGAGACCCCACCTGCTCGAAACGGGCCCCCAAAGCAGTCAGGATCTGCTCCGTGGAGGGGGGGGGGGAGGGGGTGTGCGAGAGCCCGCGCCGATCGGCAAAACAAAGGATGCGGAAACGATCACCTCCCGCCTCCTCCCCGTGCCTGCTCTGTCTACCTCGCTCCGCCCTGCGGCAAGCCAGCCCCCTCTCCGTCGGTCCCCCTTTGGCCCCTCCCGCGCGAGATCCCTCGGCCCCTCGGGCTCCCATGGCTCGGCCCCTCGGCCCTGCTGCCTCCCTCCGCAGGTCCCCCTTTGGGCGCGGAGCGTTTTTTTTGCGGACCTGGGGATCGCAAGTCGAAGACGGTCGGTCGCTCTCCACTCCTCCTCCGTCATATTCCTCAGTAGCATCCCTCCTCCTATTTGCATTGGCCGTGCGTAGTGCTGCAAACACGCCGTTCAAAGATTGCGGGCGGATAGAGCGAAGCGCGACAGCACCATTACAGCCGCCGTACCAGGAAGGGAAAGGCATGTCAAAGTAGGGGGGGCGCAAACACGCAGGTGCCTTTTACAGAACGTGCAAGGTCAGAGCAGGCCGAATTAATGGCAATCTTTATCAGGTTCGTTGGAGTGGAGACCACACAAGGCAGACATAACTCAGGCGGTCGTATCACACTTTTTACAATCGCAACGGAGCCCAGCGGCAAGGTGACGAAACACAATGACGAGGACGACGAGGAGGGGAAGGAGAGGCGGGAGGCGAGGCTGGGGTCGCATCACGCGCTCTTCTGGGCGTAAGGCGAGCCAGGACGCTTCGCCACTGCTTGAACATTAGCGCGGGCCTCCGAAAGTGGAGAGGTCTGTGCGGAGGAGAGGAGCAGGAGAGGAGCAGGGAACTTGGCGTGAATCCGAGGGCGAGCTGTCGCCTCCGCGCGCCCTGGCGCAGCGGGCGGGGCGCACGCCCCCGCAACAGCGCGCAACGGCTGGCGCGGGGGGCGCTGCAGGGCAGCCAGTACACGTGCCAGGTCGGCACGCTCGTGCAGCAGTTGTCCTCCTCCTCTCCCTCCTCCTCCTCCTCCTCCTCCTCCTCCTCCTCCTCCTCCTCCTCCTCCTCCTCCTCCTCCTCCTCCTCCTCCTCTCCTCCTCCTCCCTCTCTCCTCTGTCCTCTCTCCTCCGTCCTCTCGCACGTGTAGTACCAGGCCAATTCGCCTTGGCTTCGTGTAGTTCCATTTCCGTGCGTTCGTGGGTGGCCGTGTTCATTGAACCAGGGTCCCGTGGAGGAGGAGGGGAGGGAGGGAGGGAGGGCGGGAGGAAGGGATAGGGGGAGGAGAAATGAGAAGGGAGGAGGAGAAGAAAGAGGGAAGAAGGTATAAGGATGAGAGTGAGGGGGGACGGAGGGGGATGGAGGAGGAAGAGCGCGTCCCTGCTGAGGCGGGGGGCCGCGTCCTCTTCTTCGACTTCTTCTTGGAGTCCTCCGCCGCCCACTTCTGGGCGAGGATCTTGGCCGCGGCCTGTGGCGGGGGGGCGCTGGCCGCACACCACGGGAAGACGTGCGATAGGGGGGGGGGGGGGGGGGCTCAGGGGGAGGGAGGGAGGAGGAGGAGGGGCGCCCAGGAGGAGGGGCGCCCAGGAGGAGGAGGAAGAGGAGGAGGAGCAGGAGGAGGGAAGAAGGGAGGAGGGGAAGGGAGGAGGAGGAGAGGAGGGAGGAGGCGGGGGAGGAAGGCCTACGTGGAGAGGAAGGAAGGGGGGAGTATGAGCAGGAATGTAGGACAATTGCGAATGCCAGGGTGCCAAACGACAGAAACGATAAAATATAAGACCCTTGCAGCCACCATTGTGGGCCGGTCTTGTTCACGACTTTGGGGGTGGGCCCGTCTGCGCTGCGTTCTGAATAGACCTCTTCTGTGCCTGCGGGGGTGCCCGGAGGGCTTGCCCAGCAGAGAAGAAGGATGGACGATAACAAGGAGAAGAGGAGAACGAGGAGGATGATGGAGAATGGAGAGGCCAGGCGGACCATGGTGCGGATTCGGGGAACTAAATACTTCCAACTCAAGTCAACGGAGCGCTCGCGGAAAGGACGGGCGCCTCAGCGGCCACAAGTTCATCCACGGTCTTGCCGTGGGTAGCCGCCTTTACATATGAAGTGATACCATCACGCACAACATTCGCACGGGTGAGTTAACATCGGCCGATCCTGGCGAGGTTCTCTCACCCGTTGCGTGCGATTCCCGAACACTGCGCGGCAAGATGGCACGGGTTCTCAGTCGCCGTCTTGCCGCACGCATGACAGAAATGCAGGCAGTCTTTCTGCATATAGTGAAGATTGTGCGATTCGGGCAGCTCGCCTCCGCCCAGCACGATAGTATCCTGTAGCGGTACCATATGCGCTGGCGGTGGGCTCTGGAGGCTTGTAGTGGCATTGCGCTCTGCATGCCTCTCGCGCCGCACGCTTGTCGTAGGTGGGCCCGACCCGCGAGCATCTGTACTTGCTCGCGCAAGATTCAAACGCGAGCGCACTGGACTGGGAAGCGAACTGCATCTTGGAGAGGCGCGGGCCGCGCGCCTGCGATGGCCTCTTTGCTACCCACAAGTCAGCAGCGAACAAATCGGCGAGATCTCGTTGCGCCCTGCGGCAAACGAGGGCACACTGCGTGTCGTGCAGGTCCGTGTGTGGCGCCTCTCATACTAGCGCAGCTTCGCCAGCCCACGCAGTGGCGCAAGCGTTGCTTAGCGTGCGGGGATAGCGGACAGGATCAGAAGCGATGCCAGGGGTGTCCTCGCTGTTTGAAGCCATCGGCTCATCGCCTTCGCGATACGTTGCCACAGGTCTAGACTCGCGCCCTCGCTGCGGCGCAGGTGTCAGCTCAACCCCCGCCCGTCGTACAGCGGCAGGTGATATGTGATGAAGCACGGGTCGCCCAGCCAGTTCCCGAGGGCGAGCTCAAAGGCGAGAAGCTCAGCACGAGGCACACTTGGAAAATGGCCTTCGAGGCCCGAGAAGATGCCTCCTTGGGGGGTCCACTCCCACAAGAGTCACTCCATTGCCGAACAGAGTGAGGGTTCGATCGCTGGCGAAGCAAACCTCCTTGCCCCGCCCAACCCAACTCCACCCGCCGTCCCCTCACAGATCAGGTAAGACAAGGTGCGTACCCGCACGCGCAGGCAATCAACAAGGTCTCGTCCTCGTCACTACCGCGGGGGCAAACGGTCTGCGCCTGGCAGCCCGCCTCGACCAAACGTTTCCGCGGCCACTGAGCACCTGATGCGACGCGGAGGTCGGGGGCCCACTGGTGGCCATTCTTCGTGAACTTCTCTATCCCGTGGCTGATCATGTGCACGTCGGCCCCCCCAGCGCTGGAGCCCTTCTCCGTGTAGGTGGTTGGCTGCAGCCTCCCACAGCCCCATCTCGATGGACTGGCAGAACTCGTGGACGAACTCCGACGGGTCGACCTCGTAGCGCTTGACGTCCTAGTCGGCTTGGCCCTCATGCGGCAGGAGCCACGTCTAGTGTACAAGCTCACCGTCTCGACGTGCAAGTGACCACTCGTATGGGAGCTGGCAGCTCCAGCGAGCGTCCACGAGGATGGCCTGGACCGCGGAGATGGTGCCACCTCCTGCTCCCGAGGCTGATCGTGCTCTTATAGAGGAGCTTCCGAGCCTGGGTGACGCGCATGAGGAAGTTCGGGCTGCAGAACCAGAAGTTGAGCCACTCTGTGTTGGACTTGGGCCGCAACTCGATGGCAAGGTCCTTGTGGCCGAGGGCCACGGCGAGGGCAGCGGTGAGGCACCTTCCTGGCGCCTTGCCTGCGATGTCTTTGGCCCGGAATGGCGGAGGGAGCGAGCCCCATCATCTGGTGGGCGGAGGTGCCCTGCGGTCTGGATCCAGTGGTCCACTGGCCCTTCGCGATCTTGGCGAGCGACGCGTGCTTCCTGAACTTGGTGATGATGCGGTCGCTCTCATCGCCCGATGGGACGCTTTGGCCGTGACTCTCATCGTCTGACCACCAGTCGTTTCAGTAGGGCGTCCCAGGCGCTTCGTCAGATAATTCCTCACCAGGTATGAATCATTCAATATCATACAGCATGATGCTGAAGCTTGGAGTTCTCAACAGCTGCAAGGATGGAGGGCGGCTGCTTTCAAATTGGACGTCTCGCCTCAGCGCCGTGCACACTCGTCTTCAACATTGCAGGAGCTGGTCAGATGGACCGGTGGGAAGTGGTCAAAATCTGTCTCTCGCTTCCACGCAGCGCACCTTCGTCCTAGACAGGTGCGGCAAACACCCAATGCTTCCGCAAGGAGAAAGACACGGTCGCGAACACGGCCGCCCGCGAGGAGACCCTCAGGAACGCAAGCTCGACCTATGGCAGAGGGTGATTAACCGTGCCTCCTGGAGCGTGCCCCCGCCAGCGGCCCAGGGGGAGGACGCACACGCACTGCTGCGATAGTGGAGATCCCCACTGCGCCCCGATCCCCCCGCAACAAATCCAAGGATTAGAGGGCTCCTAGATGGGGTCGGAGTAGGTGGGGTCGGAGGATCGCGCCGCATCGCCGATGCATCGGCGATACATCGCCGATTCATCGGCGATGCACCGGCGACATCGGCGAGGCATCGGCGCTGTCGGCTCGGCGAAAGTCGGGCTCCGCATTGACCCGCATCGTCCATGCATCGGCGACGCGGCGCGATCCTTCGACCCCGTCTGCTCTGGCCCCATCGGGAGGCCTGGAAGGATGGAGGGCGGGTGGTCCTGAACGCTGGAGAGCTGGCCCAAGCGCCGCGCGAACTCGCCTCCAACAGCGACAGCAGCTGCGAGGAGGGAGGGCGGCCGGGCTCCCTCTCGGCATGGGGCTCCCGCCTTGGCGCTGCGCACCTTCGCCCGGAAGTTCTGCGACACCTGCCACGATGCACGACGGACTCCTCTCCAAAAACTGAGCTCTCGACTGAGACGCCCTGGGCTGGGAAGACCAGAAGCTTGAGCATGCGCAACCGCTGCACGGAAAGAGCGCGGCTAACTTCAGACGGATGCTCTCGCTCGAGGCTCCCTCGAGGTGCATGGCCGGGCGCCCACTGTCAGCACGAAGAGCTCTCTGGACAACAAGCTGACCCGTATGACCACAGGTGCTACTAGTCCTTACTTTACTACCAGCTGAAGTGATGCAAGGCAAATTGTGTTTCAAAGTGGGACTCTCGCCCGACCGGCAGGCCCCCAGGGTCCTGATCTTCTGAGGGTGCGTTCGCTGCAACATGAACAACGGCGTGAAGGGATGCGTGGGGGGACTTGGGACGGGAGGGTGCATTGCAGCATCGTTTATGCATCTTGGCTGTGCTCTGGTCCTCCTCCTCCCCCTCTCCCTGCCTCCTCTCGCTCCACCGGTTCTCCCAAACTTTCCTTCTCTCTTCCCGTCCTTCCGCTCCTCGCATCCCTCCAACTCATCCTCCCCCTCCTCCGCCCCCCCCCCGGTGTGTGTCTCCCTCCCCCCCCCAGGGCGTGCGCCTGCATCTCCTCCTGCCTTCTCTTCGCCTTCTCCTCCTCCTCCTGGCGCTGCTGCTTCAGCTTGAACCGCTCCTGCGCGGGTGCGCGCGAGGGCTCGGGAGGCGGCGGCGGCATGAGGCGGTGACGGCACGCTGTCGGGACAGCCTGAGCAGGCTGGCCGAACACACGCGCCCCCCCGCCCCCCCCCCGCCCCCCTTCCTCTCCACGCGGGCCAGCTCCAGGATTTGAAAGGCCAAGCCCTGGGCCACCTACGGAGCAAGAAGGGGGATAGGAGGAATGGGACGGTGAGGAATGGCGGGGACTACTGGTGGGGAGAAGGGGGGGGGGGATCGCGAGGGCACAATGGCACAGAGGCGCAGGAGTAAGCGAGGTTGGGCGAATGCTAACCCCCAAAAAAAGGCAGAAGGTGATAACGCATACTGCCGATAGGCAAAATACAGACGAGGGCGAGCGAGACATGAGTTAGAACGGAGGAACCAGAACCGCCACCGTGCCGTAGGCACTGAGTGGAGTCCCCAGCTCCCCTCGAGTTCCCTACACCTGGTACTGCTGATGCTCCAGACGGGCCAGCAACCCCAAATCAAGGGGCGCTCTCGGGAATGCCCGCGTGGCCATGTCCGAGGCCCTGAAAACGTCGCCGCGGGTGTAAACCTTGAACATGGACTTCGATGGTTTCAGGGGCCCGCACTGGCGCTCAGCGAGAGAGAGAGAGAGAGAAGCGTGTATATATGATCCAGGGTCGAGGGCCCACGGGCCCCCCCCCCCAGATGGTATGGTCCCAGGATTCCTCGGGCCCCCCCCCCCCAGATGGTATGGTCCCAGAGACGACGACGACGACGACGACGACGGCGACGACGGCGACGACGGCGACGACGACGACGACGACGACGACCACGACGACGACAACGACGGCTGCGGCGGCGACGACGCCGGCGGCGGCGGCGACGACGACGATGACGACGATGACGACGGCGACGACGACGATGACGACGACGATGACGACGACGACGATGACGACGACGACGACGACGACGACGACGACGAGGACGACGAGGACGACGACGACGAGGACGACGAGGACGACGACGACGACGACGACGACGACGACCTCTGAACCACCACAGCACCACACCACATCCACAGGGGGGGGGAGGGGGGCACCGCAGTGCAACACCACGCCACGCCCACCTCTGAACCACCACAGCACCACACCACATCCACAGGGGGGGGGGGGAACCGCAGCGCAGCACCACGCCACGCCCACAGGGGGGGGCGGGGGGGACCATCGCGCGGGGGGGGGGGCCCAATGGCATCAGCATTGGGGGGGGGGGCCCAAACCCTGGACCATATATATATATATATATATATGTGTGTGTGTACACTAGAAGCATCGCGCACGCTTCGCGCGCGCTCAGGTTCTCGCCCAGGCCAGGGGCGCGCTAGAAGATCTTGGACAGCGCTATCAAGCACGGGCGCGTGACATAGTCGTGCCTCCTGAGGGCCTCTTGGGAACCTCTTGGGTGTTCGTGGGGGCATCTGAAGGGCTTCTGGGGGGTCCTCCGTGCTTCCTCAATTGGCTGTTGGAGGCACCTCTTGGGTGCTTTTCGGGGGGGCATCTCGGGGCTTCTGGGGGTCCCTTGGGGGCATCGTCAGGGTTCTCCAGGCAGTCGGAAAATGATGTTCTGCAGTCTGAAGCAATCAGTTTGCCATCTTGGCTGCGTGGAGGTCCGGCTTGAGGCCACATTGGGGCAATCCGGAAGCCTCCCGGGGCCTCCTTGAAGCAATTTTTATGCATCGAAAGAACTGTTCGGTTATCTTGGGGCCCCGTGTGCGTCTCCTGTGAGCCTTTTGGGGCCTGGTGGGGGGCTTTGGAGGGCCTCGTCGGACTACTTGGGGACTCTTGGGGCCTCCTGTGGGCCTCTCGGGGCGGAAGGCTCTGCTGTTGGGTTCGCGTTCCCCTTCTTGGGGCTCTCTTGGGGCTCTCTTGGGGCCCTCTCGGGCCGTCTTGGGCGCCTCGGGCACCGTCTTGGGGCCCTCGTGGGCCGTCTTGGGGCCCTCTTGGAGGCCTCTTCGGCTATCTTGGAGCGGTCTTGGGGGCCACTTGGGCCGTCTTGGAGCGTCGGGATGCCAAAAGGCTCGGAACTCTAAAATCCATCAAAAGCCGATGGGAAAATAATGCTTCTTGGAACCTCTTCGGCCTTCTGGGGAGCTTCTTGAGGGCCTCTTGGGTCCCATTTGGGGGCCTCTGGGGCTTCCTGGTTCGTCTTACCATTTTTGGGTCCCCCTTGTGGCCGTCTTGCTGCCCTCTCGGGCTGTCTTGGGCCCTGTTGGAGGCCTCTTGGGCTATCTTGGATTGGTCTTGGAGGCCTTTTTGGCCGTCTTGGAGCGTCAGGACGCAAAAAAAGGCTGAAAACTCTGACATCAATCAAAAACCTATGGCGAGACATGAATATTTGCCTCTTGGGGCCTTCGCGGGAGGCCTCGTTGGATACTCTTCGGCCCCCTGGGGGGCTTCTTGAGGCCTCGTGCAGCCTATTAGGGGCTTCTCGGGGCCTCCTGAGAGCCTCTCGGGGTGGAAGACTCGGATTTTCGGTTCGTGTCAACCCTCTTGGCTCCATCTTGGGGCCGTCTTAGGGCCCTCTCGGGCTGCCTTGGGCGCCTCGGGCGCCGTCTTGGGACCCCCGTGGGCTGTCTTGTGACTGTCTTCGAGGCCTCTGGGGATGCCTTGGAGCAGAAATTGAAGCCTCTTGGGCCGCAGTGGAGCGTAACTCAAAAGGCGAGAACTCGAACGTCTATCAAAAACGAAAGGAAAACAAATTAGTTGTGCCTCCTGGGGCTCCTTGGGAGCCATCTTGGAGACCTCTTGGGGCGTCTTGGAGGCCTCTTGGACAGTCAGGGACCAATTTTGGGGTGATCTCGGGCGGTCACTGGTCGTTTTCGTTGTCTGGAAACGCCATTTCTGATAATCGAGGGCCGTCTTCGGGCGACTTTACAAGACCACCAGCGCCACGGCAGGGCCCCCGGGCCTACCGGTGCGAGGGCCCCGTCCCAGGCTCCGCCTCGTGCCCGCGGCAGGCTGGGCCGTCTCGGCGCCCTCGTGGGGGCCTGTTGGGGCGGCATTGGGTGTCTGAAATCAATCAAAAACCTAAGGACAATCAATGATTTTTGCGTCCCTTTGGGCCGTGCTGGAAGCCTTGTGGGCCCTCCGGAGGCCATCTTGGGCGTGTTCGAACGATATGTCCTCGTTTCGGCGCATCTTGGGGGCCTCCTGAAGCCCTTTTCGTCTGTGTTGGTTCTTGGGCCGTCTGGGGGCGGCCCTGGGCTGTCTCGGCGCCCTCTTGGAAGCCTGTTTGGAAGATTTCTGGGTGTCCTGGACCGTCCTCCTTCAACGTCGGCGGCACTGGCCGTAAGACTTCCTGGGAACATGATTTGTTGGGGTGTCGTTGGGCGCCTCCGGAGGCTTCGGGGCCTGACGCGTTTCCGAGCGTGGCGGCAGGTAGCGCTGCTTGGGACTCTCGTTTTTTACTCCTGCCAGGCGTTTAGGGAACATGGTTTTGGGAGAGGGCGGCAACACGAGAATCATGTTCCTGGGAAGCTGTCCGGGAGCATGATTTGTTCGGCTCCCTTAAGAGGGGGGCCTCTGGGGGCTTACCGAGGGGCCCTTTTTGGCTTTGTCGGCAAGCCTTTCGGAAACATGGTTGGGCGGTGGGCGGAAGCCCAAGGAATCATGTTCCCGGAAAGCTCTGGGAAATACGATTTACCGAGGTCTCTTGGGGGCCCCTTGGGGGCTTATTGGAGCTTCTGGGGGCCTCTTGGGAGCCTCACGGGGCTTCTTGGGAGCCTCTTGATGGCCTCCGGGGGCGTCCTAGGAGCCTCTCAGGCCGGAGACCTTGAAATGTCGCTATCTTCAGACCCTCTTGGGTCGCTCTTGGGGCTCTCTTGGGGCGCTCTCGAGGCCCTCTTGAATTATCTGGGGAGCCTCCTGGGCCGTCTCTGGTCTTTCTTGGAAGCCTCTTCGGCCGTCTTGGAGCGATCTGAAGGGCCTCTGACGCCGTCCGGGACCATGGGGAGGCGGAACATGCGAGAGCGCAAAAATGCGGGGCCCTTTGGAGGGGCCTCTGGAGGCGCTCTTGGGGCGTTTTTGCGGCGTCGTCGGTCGTCCTGAGGCCATCCTCGGCGTGTCCGGGGCCTCTTGGGGCTGTCTTGGCAATCTTTAGGGCCCTCTTGGCGTGTCGTGGCGTGCTTGGGAGCGGGCCCGGCCAGAGCCCTGGGGGCTGTTGAATGCTAGGTGTTGTCTTGGAGGCGGAGGCTGTTGATTACAGGGTGGCGCGTGCTACGCGGAAGGCGGGCGAGCGGCCGGGCTGGCGGCGGGCGGGCGGGCGGGTGGCGGGCGGGTGGGCGGGCGGGTCGGGATTTGAATGAATTGCTTAAGGATGCTCTCTTGCAACGGGAGCTTGTTGAGTACAGAGTGTTGCCTTGCAGCCGGGGGCTGTTGACTACAGGGTGTTGTCTTGGAGACTGAAGCTGTTGAGTACAGAGTGGTGCGTGCTACGCGGACAGCGGGCGGGCGGCGGGTGCCCTAGGTGGTGGGTCAGAGGCCTCATGGGTGTTGGTTTGGATCTCGTGGTTGGCCTGTCGGGGACGTCGTGAAGGCAGTTTCGCAGCTTCTCGGTTGCCGTTTTGGGACCGTTGTGGGGCCTCCTCGGGGCTGTTTTGTGGCCTCTCGAGGCCTCGTTTGGGCCTCCTGGGTGCCTCTCGGGGGCCTCCTGGGGCCTCTTGGGGGCTCCTTGGGGCCTCCTGGGGCACTCTTCAAGCGGGAGGGTCGAACTTGGGAGTCGTGGTGCCCCTCTTGGGCGCATCTTGGGGCCGTCTTGGGGCTCTCTTGGGCTGTCTTGGGCGCCTCTGGGGCCGCCTGGGGGCCCTCTTGGGCCGTCTTGGGGGCCTATTGGGCCGTCTTGGAACGTCGGATAGCCGAAAAGGCTGGAAGGCCAAAATCTCTCCAAAACCTTTGTAAAATTGACGATTTCGGCCACTTGAAGCGCTCTGGAGAGGCGTCTTGAAGCGTCGAGGAGTGCCTTGGGGGGGCCTCTCGGGCCGTCTTGGGCCTTTCTTGGCCGTCCAGGAGCGGTCTTTCGGCGACTCCAGGCCCGCTTGGGCCGTCTGGGGAGCTTCTGGAGGCCCACCTGGACTATCTTGGGCCTCCCCGGCCGCCCCGTCCTGCCATGGGGGGTCGGGGCACCTTCTTGGGCGTCCAGGAGCGGTCTTTCGGCGACTCCAGGCCCGCTTGGGCCGTCTGGGGAGCCTCTGGAGGCCCTCCTGGACTATTTTGGACCTCCCCGGCCGCCCCGTTCTGCCATGGGGGGTCGGGGCACCTGTTTGTGGGCCCCGGGCCTGCCCCCCAGTGATAAATCTATCGATGTGTAGCTCACATGTATACATATATACATATATATATATATACACATACATACATACATACATGCATGCATGCATGCATACATACATACATACATACATACATACATACATACATACATACATACATACATACATACAGATATACATACATATATACACCAATAGATGGCAGCCCCATGCACGGGGACCCCATCGTCATAAATGCAAGCACGAAGGCTGTACACGGATATGTTCAGTCATATGCTGATGAAGATGTTGATGCAGTTTTGTTGCACGGGCGTCTGCAAAGAAAAGAAATACGACAAGATTACCACTTCAAGCAATAACAAAACATGGCTATCACAAACAACAGAAATCCCCTACGCTCACAATCAATAATACAACTCTACACATGAAAGCAATCACAACCCATAACTCATCACATCCAGAATATAAGCCCACGCATAAACACACACACACATCTTACAATCAAACTTGATAGACATGCCTACAGTACAAACACTGAGAACACGTCTTGGGATCACAATCCCTGTGGGACCCATTTTTTTAAAGCATAACGCACCACCGAACAAATCTTTATAATCCCTGTGGGGCCCCTGAACACATTAAGAATATGAGGCAATCGGCATGGCCGTTTGGAGCAGATTTTAAAGGCCTGTGGGGCGGTCGCGGACGCTGGTAGGATTTTAAAAAGCGAATCTCCAGAACACATGCGTTTTCACATGGGAAATATTTGAATTTGGCCCTAGGGGCGCCTCTCCGCGGCCCCGTGGACCGTCTTGCAAGCGTTGAAGGCCGTCTAGGAGCAGTCTTGGGCTGTCGTGGAGCGCTCGTGTGCCGTCGTGAAGCCACCGCAGCGCGCTCTCCAGCCATCCTCCGGGCAACCTGGGGCGCTTTGGGGGCCTCTTGGGCCAGCTTGGGGGCCTCTGGGTGATCCGGGGCCCGTTCTGGGTCCTCTTGGAGCCCTCAAGACCCCCCCGGGTCCCCATGCAAACCAAAGGTCGTGGTTCCGGGCCCTCCCCTGGCGCCTTCATATATATATATATACACACACATGTATGTATACACAACTATAGGCTCATTGTTGACCCACCGCCCGGCTAACTCCCCACAAGCCGTCTTTCCGTTTCCCTGCTCGCTCCCTCCCTCCCCCTTCCTCTCTGACCCCGCCAATCGCCTCTGGCCCCTGCTCTTGCTTCCTGTGCCCCTGCCTTCCTCCCGCACCTCCCCCTGTCCACGCCCGCGTAGTGATCACTCTCCCTCCTCGTTCTCTTCATCCTGCATCTCCTTCTCGCGCCGTTCCTTGTTCTTCTTCTTCTTCTGATTATTATGTGCATCACTATTAGAACTATTATTATTATTATTACTATTGTTATTATTATTATCATTATTATTATTATCCGCGTTCATCCTCTTCCTCCTCATTCTCCCCCCTCCCCTCATTATGCATTATCACGCACTTCCTCCCTCGATCGCCCATTCAGCAGACGACCGTATCAAAGCCTATCTGCCGAGCCCAATGCTGAAAGATGACGAGCATAATTGGTGGGTCAACAGAGCCGCGCATGGAGATAGGAATAGCGAAGGAGAATAAGAAAGAGAAAACAAATCAGGGGGTGAGCTAGAAGCACACACAGCGGTCTCAGTCATCTCTCTGAGCAACTGCGGCAAACCTGTGAGCCCAGGCCACCACAACACACGTCGGGAAAAGGCAAGCAGTCAGCGAAGCACGCAGTCGGCCCTCTCAAACTTGTGGGCTGCAGCGCAACTTCTCAAGATTATAATCCCAAGAACTCTGCCTGCCCTGCGTCACAAGGAGATGGAAGGAAAATTCGGGGATCTGCTGACCGGGGTCAAGCCAGACCAGAGCCAGTCAAGCTCTGCAGGATCCGGCCAAATCCTGCAGGATCCTGCACCAAAACCTGGGGCAATGCGCCCATGGCCCTGCATGATCCTGCGCAAAATGCAGCGCTCTGGCTGACCTCCGTTTGCATCGACCCCCGTCTCCTGAGCCCCGAGAAATGCGGAGAACGTCACCTGGCGTACCTGGACTCCCTTCCTGCCCATTACGTCGCAACGTCAAGCCAAGCTTAGACGGCGAGGGCGCCGCTCAACATGGGCGCCGGAACACTGTGGGAACAACTGCGAGCCGTGTCTGCTGCAGCAGGAGAAGGCCAACACTTTTTAGATAAATAGTCAAAAGCTTTTCAAAAGTAGTCACATATACAGAAAAATAGTTCCCGCAAGATTGTTTGACTGTGTTGAACTTTCCTCCTGTGGAGCGACATGCCCGACTTAACTTTATAGGGCGCAGTCATGCTCGCCTCCTCCTCCCCTCCTCATTCCCCTCGTGCCCCTCCCACGCAGCCCTGCCCTTTTGAGGCCCTCCCGGTTGCGCCCTCCTCTGTCTGAGTTGGAGCCCCCAGCGTCTCTTGGTCTTGGTCTTCGTCCTCCCTACAGTCGTGCTACTGAAAGACAGACAGGCAGAAGCCGCGCCCAAACGGCGCATTGGCAAAGAAGAGTAGCACATGCGCGTGGAAAAAAATGTGCTACCGCAGCGCCTCGGATTTTCCACGCCGGCTGCTTTGTTCCAGCCTTAGAAAAATAAGGAACGAGAAGTAAGGAACGAAGCCTTTCTGGCCCCAAGAGCGCAGTCGTTTACGAGGAGGGCTAGAGGAACAGCCATGGAGGAACCTCAGGAGCATGGAGCCCCCTCCGATCCCAAACTGTTCCTCATCTCGGCGTCTTGGCTGCAGCCCTTCTGGCTCGAGCCATGTTGGGCCAGGCCGCCGCATCGGAGCTCTGCCCCAGACTCTACCCCGCGCCGAGGCCCTGGGCAGCGAGGGCGGCTGGCCACCGAGGTGGACTGAGCGACGAGCGCCGAGGTCGTGGCGGCCATGGCGGCCCAACCCGCCCGTCGGCGAGGGCGTCGGGCCGGGCTGCTGCCGCGCTGTGGCTCGTTGCGCCGCTGCGCGAGGGCGGCGGCTGCGCGGACCTCGCCCGGAGGCGCCCCTCGCGGCGGCCATGGCGGACGGTCGTGGCGGCCATGGCGGACGAGTGGCCAGGCTGCTGCCGCGCCGATGCCCGCGGCATCACTGCGGAGGAGCGGCGGCTGCGCGGACCGCATCAGATGGGCCGAGGAGGCGCGCGAGGAGGCCCGCCTGGCGTGCCCCCAGGCCGCCGGCGATGGGTGGCGTGGTGTAGCGTTTCTTCATGCGCGGCTCGCCCGATGATGGGGGGGAGCCGAAGACTGGAACGGGCCAGGCCTGCTGGGAGGTGGGCCTCACGCGCCCAGGGACGGAGAGGAAGGGTGGAGAGGAGCAGGACGCATGCGGGCTCAGTGAGAGGGGCGGCAGAACGATGATGCGTGTGCTCCAACAGAAACTGGCACTTCTCCCGCCGTTACCTGAGCTGACGACCGACATCAATGGCAAGGACAACGTGGACATCCTGACCTCGCACGGCGTGACCAATGACATCAACGGGTTGGCACGTTGTTCGGATACCATCGATGCGCACGGTGTTGGCATCAGCGGCCCAATGGGCATGGTGGGCAGGACTAGGACGGCCTCTGTGGCTGGGCAGGCGACGGGACGAAGAAGCGCGAGCCCATGATGACTCCAACTCCGTCGGTCCCTGAGCTGAAGTGTGACACGATGGACACGGTGGACGGGGACATCCCTACTTCGGACGCCGTAGTTACCGTCGACGGTCAGGAGAAGATGAGCTTCGGCAAGGTCGTGAACATAGCCAGGGATGGCGCTGTGGGTGCATACTTGTCCGACTGCAAACACCCCCGACACTGCAAACCGACAAGAAATTGTCCAAGGGGAGCCCAATAAAGTCGGCCACGGTGTGGGAAATGCGCGACTCAAACGGGATGAGGATTGTGCTCCAGTGCATCCACTGCTTGAACCAGATGGCCCTGAGTCTCAAGAACTTCGGCGAACACGACCACGTGGGCGTGTCTGGAAGTAGTATATGCTGTAGATGGAAAACCTCTTCGCGCACAATGCAGCTTCAGCAGGAGCGCAACAATAGCAAACTCAGGATGCTGCTGACCGAGTTGACTCTTCGGTTGGTGGCGTGTGACGGAGTCCGCGAAGATGGAGGCGGAACGCGACAGCCTGGTCATGAGCAACATGACGGCCCAAATAAAGCAGGAGGCACTGAACGGGGACACGGGCAAGCAGCGCTGAAATCGAAGGCGGAGCAAGCAAGCAAGCGAAGGGGGGCATGAACTTCCTGGTGTAAAGGCCTTGGAACAATGAGCTGGCCACGCTGCGCCTTGCCTCACCGCCACCAGCGGCCAATCGTCTCATGCGGAGGCTCCACTTCGTTTGGATTTCCAACTCGCCAATTGGACTATCCCGGGGCCAGCGGGGCTGGGCAAAGCCACATCATAATGCACCTCGGCGGCTGCATTTGCGGCAAATCCGCGTGGCCGCGCGGCACCCGACTGCCTCGCTTGAGGGATCTCGGCTGCGCTCGGCGTTGGTCTCGACTCGCAGCGGGGGTGGCTCGGGTCCGGCTCGCGTCGAGTGAGTGCGTGAATCTACTCCTTCGTTAGAATCCTCCTACTCATCGATCCTCTCCTCTCCTCTCCTCTCCTCCTCCTCCTCCTCCTCCTCCTCCTCCTCCTCCTCCTCCTCCTCCTCCTCCTCCTCTTCTCCTCCTCCTCCTCCTCCTCCTCCTCCTCCTCCTCCTCCTTCCTCCTCCTCCTCCTCCTCTCCCCTCCCCCTCCTCCTCCTCCTCCTCCTCCCCTCCTCCTCCTCCTCCTCCTCCACTTTCCTTCTCCTCTGCCGCCCTCCTTCTTCCTCCTCCTCCTCCTCCTCCTCCTCTCCTCCTCCTCCTCCTCCAACTCTCCTCCTCCTCCTCCTCCTCCTCCTCCTCCTCCTCCTCCTCCTCCTCCTCTCCTCCTCCTCCCTCCTCCTCCTCCCCCCCCCCTCCTCCTCTCCTCCTCTCCTCCTCTCCTCCTCCTCCTACTCCTCCTCCTCCTCCTCCTCCTCCTCCTCCTCTCCTCCTCCTACCTCCTCCTCCTCCTCTCCTCCTCCTCCTCTCTTCTCTCCTCCCTCCCTTCCTCTCCTCCTCCTCCTCCTCCTCCTCCTCCTCTCCTCCTCCTCCTCCTCCTCCTCCTCTCCTCCTCTCCTCCTCTCCTCCTCTCCTCCTCCTACCTCATCCTCCCCCCCTCTTCCCATCTCCTCTTTCCATTCCTCTCCTCCTCCTTCCCAAGCGTCTGCGTTCCTGGATACTCCCCGCCCCCTCCCCACGGAACGGGAACAAGCGAGAAGGGCAGCAGGCGGGATGGGGGGGGCTCCTTGTTCGTCGACGCGACGTGACCCTCCCGGGAACCGCCTGTCCCCCGTCCGCGCGCGCGCAGGAATCGGCGACTCCGGAACTCTGCTCCAGGGGGGGGGGGGGGGGGCGCGCAGGGGCAGAGGGGGGAAGGCGCAGTGGGCGAGCAGGGGAGGAGCGGAGGAGGGAGGGACGGGGGGACGGGGGCAGGGAGGTGGAGGGGGGGGCAGGGAAGAGGAGGGGAGAGACGGGGAAGAAGAGCGGCAGCCAGCGAGGGCTGGTTGGGGCGGGGAGGGGGGAGGAGGGTAGACGCGGGTTGGCATCGTCGACGTGCTGGCAGGTAGAGGAGCAGGGCCCGCTTCCCAGACAGCCGACGTCGCGATTTTCTCGCAACGTCGACCCCCAAAGGTCTGCTCCCCCTCCAGGGGACCGGTTTTTCACCCTGAATCGTTTTTCACCGTCCCGAGGCCCGGCGAGGGCCCCATGAGGCCGAAAATAACATAAAGCCTTCCGTCTGTCACGCGAGGCCGAACATCACGCAACCTGGAGGCCGAGGATATCTGTCACAACGCGAGAGGGTCTGGGTTCTCCCCCCCAAAGCCGTTGGCGGGTGGAGGTGGGCAGCGGCGGCCGCGGCAGGAAGACCCTCGGGAACGCCGAGGGCGGCGGCCACACCGCGGGCGGTCGCGCCGGGCGCGCGCGCGGCCGAAGGAGGCCCTGAGCTGGCGGAGGGAGGGAGCTTGTATGTGTGGCCGGGGGGCTGCTGCCATACGAAACTCAGGGACAGAATCGAGTTTTCGCAGGCAGGGTGGGACCGACGGGAGGGGGCGGGGCGGGATGGGCAGGCGGTTGGTGGTGGAGGAGGACGGCGAGGACGGCGAAAACAGGAGGCTGAGAAGGAGGATGAAGCGCATCGGGGAGAGGAGGAAGATGAGAGGAGGAGGAGGAGGCGGAGGAGGAGGAGGAGAAGGAAGATGAGGAAAAAGAGGAGGAGGATCAGGAGGAGGAGGACGTGGAGAAGGAGGCGGGGGAGGGATGAGGATGAGGATGAGGATGAGGAGGAGGATGAGGAGGAGGAGGAGGAGGGAGGAGGAGGAGGGAGGAGATTGAGGAGGAGGAGGAGGAGGAGGAGGAGGAGGAGGAGGAGGGAGGAGGAGGGGGAGAGGAGAAGAGGAGAGGAGGAGGACGAGTAGAGGATGAGGATGAGGAGGTCGATCAGTCGATCGGCGGGCGGGCGGAGCTGAAGGCAGGGTGCCATGAGGAGCCTCGATCGGGAGGGAATCTTGGAAGGAACAGCAGAGTGGGAAGGGATTGGGGGGGGCAGCACCGCTCAAGCGAACGGACGTGAGTGGCGGAGGTGCATTCAAGCTACTACAACAAAGGACGCTGCACGAGGACAGCCCTCCTCTGGCCCCAGAGCGCCCGGGCGCACGAGCGCTGGCGGTACGCCCACGGCGGAAAACAGGAAGCAGCGTGCCCCTTCCGGTCCTGAACCGTGTCCTGTTCAAGCGTGCAATCGGGGCGTTGGCCCACGGAACATTAAATAAGGAACGAGATGCCTATTTCCCACAAGTTCAACTTCGATGTCCCATGGACAACCCGAGGAACACCGAAGACACACTGTAAAACAATCAAACAACACGGAGCCCCTCACCAACGCAAAGGGATCCTTCTTCAGCGCCCCGACTGTGTTGGCTTCCGCACACCGAGCAGCTGAGCATGCCTCTAGGATCATCGATGATCCGGGTGGCCCTGCCGGTTTCCCAGGCAGCGCGCCCTATGATGGAAGTGGGCGGGCCTGCTCCGTCGTGCGCCGCCAGGGCACAGATGCATATCCGTCCCGCTACAGTGCGACGGCGCTCTAATGGACTGCGGAAGGCCTGAGGAGGGCAGCGGCGATGGTCACTTTTTGATTGTCAATGCGAGCCCGAAGAGATTCCAGATCGGGTATACAGAGAAAGAGAGAGAGAGACAGAGAGGGGGGTAGGGAACGAGAGAGAGAGAGAGAGGGTGTTTCACTATGCTGATGACGCGCCTTTTGGAATTGGCCCCTGATGCCCTTCTGGTCAGACCCTTGCAGGCAAAATTCTTCAGCGGCAACATGACGAGAGACTGGCACCAGAGTCCCTGTGAAGCGGGCGCGGTCGTCAACTAGCATGACCGGTGCAGAAGCAGCCAAGCCAATGCCCGTACGGCACGTTGAGGATGAAGCAGACCAGCCGCGCCATGCGCGTCATCGTCCACGAGCGCCATCTTCTGAGACGAGACACAGGAGTGCCTCTGACCTCGCAGCCGCCACCGCCACGAACTCTTGTCCAGCAAGAACGCGGGGTGCTCCGCATTGAAAGCGCGCTGGTGGTTCTCTCGACCCACATGCCGCGCGCTAATGGCACGCGGCACCCCAGTCAGGGGAGGAACCGCGAGAGAGCGGCCAAGTTGGACCAGTGAAGTTGGGCGAAGATGGCAACTGGCTTGAGGCAGACATGTGATGGCGAAGGGGAGTGGGAGAGTGAGACAGAGAGAGAGAGACAGCACAATAAAAGAAAGGCGGGGGTGATCGGGAGGGAGGGATCGAGTGGATGCAGGGGCGAAAACACAGAAGAGAAGGAAGAGCTGGGACGGCGACGCGGCATAATGGAACACAGAGGGTCCTCCATGAAGAGAACGGCGTCATCAACTCCCGATTTCCTCCCCGGCCCTCGATCATCCTCGTCCCTCAGCGACCACGATAACGACGACGACGAAGACAGCCGACGAGCGCGAACAAGAACGACGAACATGACGACGACCGCGGCGGCGGCAACGACGGCAATGACGACATCAGCAACGACGACGACGACGCCGACGACGACGCAACCGACGCGACGACGAAGGCGACGGCGACAGCGACGACGGTGACGGACGCCGACGCCGACGCCGACGCCGAGGCCAACGACGCCGACGACGCAAGCGGCGGCGGCGACGACGACGGCGACGACGACGGCAATGGCGAAGGCGGCGGCAGCGACGAAGACGCAAGGCGACGGCAGCGACGACGACGACGACGACGACGACGACGACGGCGACGCAAGCGGCGGCGGCGGCGACGGCGGAAGGCTCTCTCCGTCGTGCGGCAGCGCTCGGGGTGGGCGGGCCCCGCGGCGCCTGACATGGCGCCCTCGGGGGGGAGGAGCCCCGCCGCGCCCCAGGCTCGAACGAGAAGGGGGGAGGGAGGGGAAACGTTAGGGTTACGTTGCTCCCGCCGTACTTAAGGACCACGTCCCAGAAATTAATTTCGAGCGCCCACAAAAGTGCCGGGACAGGGTCGAACGAATATCGCCTCCCAGGGCCCGACACGCGAAAACCCGCAAGAGTGTTTATTTTCTGGGTGCTCGGAATTATTTCTGGTGGGCGGCGCTAAAGCAGGTCGGAACATCATAACGTTAGCGGGGGACCGGCTCAGGGACGGACGCATCGACCCGAATCCGCGATGCATCGCCGAGCGAGCGGCGATGGGTTCCGGATGGCGAATCTGGAAAGCCCCGGGCGGGGTGGGCGATCGGGCCCCCGTCAGCGATGAGCGGGCGATTGGGTAAGACAGGAGAAGCACCCTCAGAGTAAACATCCGGACATGTGCGGCCCTTGGCTCATCTCACCCATGGAGGGAGTTGGACAAGGCAGAGCTGTTTAGTGTGCGCCCAAGGTTGTTTGGGAAACGTCAATTGCAAAAGTGGTTGAACGTGCTTCCTCTGGCCGCGGGTGGCTAGAAGTGCCCAAGGTTTCCCGAGTTTTCCGCTCCACTTTGGGGCCCCCTGGGCCCCGTGGGTCTCGTGGGGGGTGCTCTGGAGGCCGCGGGGCACTCATGGCAAC